GGTGGAGCAGGCTGGAGCCCTAGCCCAGTGGCCAGAGAGGTTCAGCCTGTATTAGGATATTTATATTGACCATCTGTATTATAATGGCTAGCAGGGTGAGTGTCTCAGGACACTGACCTAGGCCTAGTGAGCGTGTGTCCCGCAGGAGCGTGTCTATGAGCAGCAATCTGGAGCAGTGACATTGCAAATGAGGCCCTTTCTATATGAATGGCTTGCAATTAGTTACTGTCCATTCCCGTTCTAGGCTGCCCTCACTGCTGGGCGTCACCCCCGGGAATTTTGCGGGGCAGGACACAGGAATGGCTTGCGTCTCTGCTCCCTTGGTGCAGTGCTACATGGACCTGCACTGGTGGGGTCACCCGAGGGAACTTTTAGGGGGTCAATGTATTGACAAGGCTTCCTGCTTTCCGAGCTCGCCTACAAATCCATCTCTATCCACTCCTCCGCCTCCTCGTTTCTAAGACACGCCTCCCCTCTCCTGACAGGGCCCAGTCGTCGCTGGCGCTTGTCTTATGTACTGGGAAGGGCAGGCCACCTGTCCGTCTCTGTGCCAGGAAAAGTGACTATAAAAGGTAGGGATGTATGGGAGTGGTCGACTACTCGCTGCCCCCCCTTGCTTCCTCTGTGTCAAAAGCCGGTTCCCCCCAGCACCAGCTCCGTGGTGCGGGGAGGGAGGTGGGGAGCACAGAAGGCAGAGCCGCAGCAGGGGTAGCTCCCGGGGCCGGCGTGAGCCAGCACTAAGCAGTCCTGGGTCATGCCAGCTCTGGGACGCTGCAGCTCTGCATTTCAAGGGTAGTAAGAGACTGCTTAGTCCCAGCTCCTGCCACCCCTGGGAGCTACCCCCGCTGCGGCTCTGCAGCTTAAATGGCTCGATTCCTACTACATTTAAACAGCAGAGCCGCAGTGGGGGTAGCAAGCCCCCTCCCATCGACTAATCGAGTAGTCAATGGAAATTCCATCTCTTCTTGATTAGCTGATAAACTGCAATTTAGCATCTCTAATAAAGGGCTCTGAACAGAAAAAAGGTTTGTTTTGTTCCCTGGTTTGCGCCCTCGCGGCAAGTAAAGACAAGCTGGACTTGTTTTCTCTGCCTGAGGAATATGAGGAATATTAAGACTGGCCACACCTGGCTTTGCATGGAGACACGCTGAGGAGCGCAGCTGAGCAAGTCACCGGTCTCAGCCCTTAGATTTCTGGGCCACAGGATGCATATTTAGCAAAGAGGGGCTTGCTCCCAGGTCTGAGTTGAGGCCTTTGAAAGGCAGGGCCTGCATTTCTAATGCAGAAAAGGAGCAGATACAGAAAACATTTTAAAAACATTTACACATGCACCTTTCCAGGCTCTGTGTGTGCATCATCAAACCCCAACGAGCACAAACTCCCAGCCTCTCCCTTTGCGGCCCACTTAACAAGAGCAGGCTTCCAAGCACTCCCTCACCCCTGCACCCCAGCCAGACGTGGCCCAGGTTGTTAGAGTGGCATTCCCTCCAACAGCTGGAGCTGAGAGTGGGGAATTTCCCCTCCACAGCATTCACTGTCCCTTGCAGTTCAGTTTGCACTTCACTTTGCTGGTCATGTAAGCGGCAGTGAGGAGGCAGCAGGCTCCCGTGAAGAGGCACATGGCAGAGAAATTGTGAGTGTGGTCACCGTGCAGGCTGGTGTAGATTTCCCGCCTTGACTCATAGTCCAGCACCACCGCCTGGACCTGGGCCAGGGTGCAGAGCACCAGGAACACGTGGAAGATCTGGTGCCCCTGCCCAAAGAGGTGACATTTTCCGGGAAACCATTTCTCCGGATAAGGGTAAGAGAAGAAGAAGGCGCTGATCAGGAAAAAGAGCACCTGGCACTTGTGATATAACAGGGCTGGATCCCCCTGCTCAGAGGGCTGAGCAGTGTACAGCCGGTGAATTACTGGGCTAATATCTAGCGCATATGCCAGACCCAAGGGCACTTCCTGACACAGGCGGCTCAGATGGCGAGGAACCTGGTGATATCGATATTTAGCATAACAGGAACCTGCACAGGATAACCAAGCCAGTAAAACAGCCCCAGGCATGTAAAAACCCATGATCCTGGAGTGCCAGTCTGGCTCAATGGTATAGTAGTAATGCACCAAGGCGCTGCTGTACTGGTAAATGGCGACGCCCACATAGTCCATGAAAAAGAAGCTATAGTGCCAGAACTCGGACTTGGCCTGCAGGAGGTGAGCCAGGGTGCTGAAGGTGAGGTAGGTGATAGAAGCCAGGACAATGATGAACAGGGGATGGGCATGAGGGTCGCTCACAAAATCCACCGTCTGGGAAAGCCGCCAGAATCGCAGTAGCAGGATCAGAGTAGCCACGAGGTGCGTCCAGACGTTGACCGCTTCGTTGTGCTGCTGGAAAAGCGTCAGGAAGTAATACGTCCAGGTGCGGTTGAGGGGCCTGTAGCCAGCGTGAATGTAGGGCTTCCAGAAGACCCTCGGCACCTCTGAGGTGCCCACAGTGCAGTGAGGAGAGGGGAAGGCACTGCCCAGAAGCCTGGGCACCTGCCAAAGCTGCTGCACATTAATGAAAAGGCGGTTAAGTTTTTCCGGGACAATGGTTGCCATGACAAGGAGACGGTACACTCAGCTGCTGCCAAGCGAGCAAACCTTCATGAAGAGAAGAAGGAAAAGTTTAGTTTGGGTGTAAAAGCAGCATTATTGGGGGCCAGCTTGTAGGGGTCATTTAGAAACAAATCTGATCAGCTCTGCACACCAGGGCTGACATGCTACTGACATTCACAATAAATGCAGAATTAAAAGCAGCCTGGGGTGAGGGAAGTGTGGGGGGGCTTGTTCAGATTTCAAAACTATTGATTTACATTACAGCAGGGCCTCGAGGTCACAAGCAAGTTTGGCTCCTTTGGGTCAGGGGCTGGACCAGTGGTGGGCCCATGGGCCATGTACGCCTGCCGGGGCTCTGTGCGCAGCCCGCACGACAGTGCATTCTCCATTGCCCTCGCACAGGGTTGCCTGATTCTGCTGCTTCCACCCACACAGATTTTTTTCCTACCACTGTCACTAACGTGACGCACGTAAAGCCAGGGGAGGTGCAGGCGGCTTGCACACAGCACTGACGGCGAGAGCCAGGCACTCCCTCTGCAGTCAATCTCAGTGCTGCTGCCATTCAATCGGCACAGCCTGCACCTTCTAGGCGTGCAAGGGCAATGCGCAAAACTGCCCTGGCCTGGGAAACTGTCTTGGTTATGACAAGCCTGCGGCCCACGGAGATGAAGGAGGCCACGTGTGCGGCCCGCTCACTAGCCTGGGTTGCCCATTGCTGGGCTGGACAAACATACTGTTGCCGGCACAGCGTGCCCGAGGGAGGCAACAATACAATGAATCACAGAGCTTAAAAAGCAAAAATGGCAAGACACACAAGTGGGTGTGCGATGCAGATGGGCTCGCAACTAAATATACTAGGGGGTGCACAATTCTTGGGCTCAAGTGGGTGTGTGCGATGCAGATGGGCTATACTAGGGGGTGCACAATTCTTGGGCTGTGACCACAGCATTAGCTAGCAAGATGTGTGGCCCAAGCCTCACCATCCTGGACACACTTGTAGCTCAATTACTTACCAACCCAAATTCTCCCTACCAATGGGCTGGATCAGCTGCATTCACTTCCTGTCCTAAACGCCTGCATGGTGTTACTGTGAGCTGTAAACGGTGGGTGTGCGCCCGCTCAGCAGGGGCTGCATGTTAGAGATGGGACAAGTGGGTACAGTTTGTCAAGTGCTTGAAGCCTTAGCTCAGTGTTTCTTAAGCTGTGTTCCGCGGTACAGCGGTGTGCCGTAAGGCAGGTGGAGGTGTGCCAAACAGAATTCAAAATGGCTGCCCTTAAGGGGGCAGGTGACTTTTTTTTTTTTTTTTTTGCTTTTTGTTCTAACTTTCCCATGACCCTTTTTTCTCAATAATTCCCTCCCTCCCCCCGAACTTTTTTTTTTCCCTTAACAAAAAAAAATCCTTGGTGTGCCTAATAAAAACAAATTATTGTTTGGTGTTCCTCGGTCTTAAAAAGTTTAAGAAACACTTGGCAGCTCTGAATTTTTCATGCGGCCTCATGGCCAAACACATTCGGTGGGAGCAAACTGTGACATATCTGCAAACAACTGTTTCAGAGGAGACAAAAACCAGACTCCTTGTCTCCTTTTCTACTGGCCTTGGAAGTGTATTAAGACGATCTTGTTCTAAGCAAGCACATTTAATAAAAACCTTGCCTACCCTAACTCTATTTGCTAACACCATATTTGAACAGCCCCAAGACTTGTTTGAACAGCATTAATCTTTCACTAGTGAGCTACTTACCACACAGCAGGAGCAAAGAAACAATAATGGCCTGGTAAAGTAGCTAGGAAAATACCAGTCTCATTTACATTCTGACTCAAGTACTCCTATGATCCTAAAGTCTATCAGTGTTGCACCTCTAGCAGTGTGCATCAGTGACAGAAGCTAAAACACACCCATGGCTGGATATCAGACTCATGGGCTGTGTCTAGACTGGCCAGTTTTTTCTGGAAAATCAGCCGCTTTTCCGGAAAAACTTGCCAGCTGTCTACACTGGCTGCTTGAATTTCCGCAAAAGCACTGACTTCCTACTGTAAGAAATCAGTGCTTCTTGCGGAAATACTATTCTGCTCCCGTTCAGGCAAAAGTCCCTTTTGCGCAAAAGGGCCAGTGTAGACAGTTCAGATTTGTTTTCCGCAAAAAAGCCCCGATCGCGAAAATGGCAATCGGGGCTTTTTTGGGGGAAAAGTGCATCTAGATTGGCACGGACACTTTTCTGCAAAAAGTGCTTTTGCGGAAAAGCGTCCGTGCCAATCTAGACGCTCTGTTCTGAAAATGCTTTTAACGGAAAACTTTTGCGCAAGAGGAAGCATAGTATTTGCGCAAGAACACTGACAATCTTACATTAGATCGTCAGTGTTCTTGCGCAAATTCAAGTGACCAGTGTAGACAGCTGGCAAGTTTTTTTGCAAAAGCGACTGCTTTTGCGGAAAAACTTGCCAGTCTAGACGCAGCCCTAGTGTATAACCTGTAAATGCCCTTTTCAAAGCACACATAAACATCTTATTTTAAATGTCATCCCCTCCATGGTTGCTTTTAACCCGGGACAGGCTCAGCAAAACTCAGTTCATTTGCTGGCTTATCTTCCGTGTGCTCTGGACACCAGACAGGGCTCAGTGTCACTAACTGCCCTGGAGTCACCTCCCTTGACTTTTTAATCTTATTTCTCAAAATTCTGGAAAATTTTTGTCAGACCAGCAAAAATGACCCCACACAGAGCCAGGCTCGTCTCCCAGCGTCACCCCGCTACCGCCAGGATTCAGACTCACCAAGCGCAAGGGCCAAATTCTGCCCATGTAGCTCCCCTGGAGTCAATGGGCCTTTGCCCAGAACTGAGAGCCAACGCTAGCCCCCAGCTACCCTGCTCCCATGATGTACCTTGTATTAGGGGCCTCCAAAGGGCTGGTTCTGAGACTTGCCCATAGGCTCTATAGGGGAAGGGTCGCCCCAGGAGTGCGCAGTCCCCGGGCTCCCCAGCAATCGCCTGGTACCCTGGGATCTGTAGGGATGAGGGTGCCCACACAGGGTATCCCTAGAGCTAAGTACTGGGGTCCCCTACACACTCCTACTGCGAAGGATGTGTCCCCTGCGGATCCCTGGGCTCCCAGACTCGGGGCTGGGCTCTAGAGGTGCCCGGCCCAAGGCAGTTCCTACGCTACTCCTGGCTCTCGGGGATCCCCAGTATCACGCGCTCCTGCCCCGACCCCCCTCCTGCCTCCCGCTGCAGCCCCGGGCAC